TTAGGCAAGTTGAGACATAAATTCTATGAACACAGAACGAAAATGGGCTGAGAGGAGGTGGCAGATTGGGGAGGAGACTCACTAAAGTTGCCAGAAAATTGTGCGTTTAAAAAAGTAGAAAGGGAGGAAAATAGAAAAAGAGGTAAGTTCAAGTTTGGGTAGTCAGAAGGAAGAAAGCTGATACATTTTCAATATGGAATTTAATAAAGTGGGTAGAGTTACATTTAAAGGAACGAGAAAAATTAAAGAAAAGCTAGATAGTTTAAAAGTATTTAGTAATAACTTGCATAAATAATATTTGCGTTAGATTTTAATTATTTTAAATAAATTTTTTATAATAGTTATTTGAGCCTCTGCAATTTTATTTATGTGTCCAGAAACCTAAGAGTATAAGGATTCCAAGAAAGCTTCTCAAACTCAATTTTTCCAATGATTGAAAGCGCAATATATTTGCTTAGACTAAAACTTCTAAAGGTAAGTTAAAGGATCTCATTCCGTTTCCTCCATTATAACCAGAATTTTCCTTTTGACTTTGTTTGCTAAGGTCTTAAGACCTAAAGTGAGCCTCGTAACTCTAGACCCTACATCCTTTTGGTCGAACTCTCATTTCAAGTGCCGAAAAGTTTGCCGAGCTCTAAGCCAAAGCAAATTAAATTGCCATTGCCCAAGCAAATGATTTTTTCTGCTGCTGCCGCTTTTGCCTCTTTTCTTCTTTGGATGGGATAAAGTTAGCCAACTTTCGCCATCATTTCTGGTGCCGCTTATCGACAAAAGTCAGCAAACAGATCGGATTTGTATTTAAATTAAGCATTAAATAGTAAAAAGGTAAAGGGCGCTAAATGAAAACGAGCCAACTTGGTAGGGTCTCCAAAATCTTTGCACTTAAAAAAATATCGTAAGTTATACAACTTTTTAGAATTTAAGAATAAATCCGAAAAAATGAGAACTAGTTTCAATTTTATTTACCTCAACTTTACTTTTATTTATCTAAATTTGTTGAAAAGGAAAATCTTTACTTGTTATTATAGTTCCAAATTTAACTGTTCTGTTCAAATAGTATATATTTTTTTTTAAGCCTTGGAAATTTAAAATTGTTTTGTGTATAGGATTTGGAGCAACGAAGTGGAGGGACAGCTTTAGCGCCTTACAACGGCATTTGCTGACAGGCATTAGGAGGACTCGACGCTACAATGCCTCCCCCGCTCATCCCCATTGTTGCTGACTCAACAAGGAGATGGGCTTTGGATGGAGGTGGTGCCACCGGGTGGTGGGTTGTGGGTGGTGGGTAGTGCATACCTGCAACTGGACTTAGTGGCCTGGACAGCAGCGCTTCCGCTTCCATGTCGTGGGCCATAAATCTTTCGCAAAATCGCGGCTAGGCGCAAAGTGCACCGCAAAATGGTGAAAATTGCACGGCAAGGATGTAACAAAAAGGGAAAGGAAGTGCAGGAAAGACAGGGACAGCCAGAGAATGAGAGCGAGACAAGGATCTAAGCGGGCAGCTTACACTGCTCCACTCGGTTTGGGGTTAACTGGCGCTCAGTTTCGCTCGGGTTTAGTTGGCTGTGCGTAAATTTAGTGCCCTGGAAATTTAGTTTCACAGTTGCGGTGATTTACTTGGCCGGCGCTGTACAGTGGGGCAATGGTGTTGGTTATATAAATAAATATTTTTAACTCCTCAAAAGGCTATGTTGTTCTTTTAATAAGAAATCTACACAAGGGAATATAGCTAGTTTACGTTTTCTGATCCTAATAAGAGTAATAGTTCTCGGATCTTTATTCAGATTTATTTCACTTATAAAATTTTAAATCCATTACAATGGTTTCTCATCCCACGGTGCATTTAAAATGTTCCATATTGTTTGCATTTGCTTTTAAATTTCCACGCTCAACTTTGTACGGTGAGGTACAAAAAGTATAAAATAAGTCTGAACTTTTTGCCTACTGCCCTCTGCAGCTGCAGCTGCCTCACTTCTTGCCCCACCGGCGTTGCGTTCCCCGCTGAATTTAACATGAGGCAAGGCCGTTGGGGCGGGGGTCTCGGTGGGCGGAAAAGCGGAGGGCAGCGTCACATGTGTGCAGAGTTCTACGTGGCAGAAAACGATGGTGAAGGGGGTGGAAAGGGAAAAGGGGCAGCGTGGTTTTTTGCTTTAAGCAGCGCCATTGTTTATGCTCCGAACTCAAACCAAGTGGGAACGAGAAAGAGATAAATCAACTGAGAAAAAAATGGATATAACTTAGAGGTAAAAAAAAAATATATTAAAAATACATACATTAAATTGTATTTAGTAGCTCTCAAATGCATTAAGTTCGATTTCTATGCTTGACATGGTACAACAACTAATTTTTACAACAATGTGATTTCAAACTGGATAGCTCTTTTCTTTAAGTGCAAGGACGGCCAGAGCTAACCAGACTCATTTAAAGAGAGACCCCGAGACAAGAGTTAAGTGCGATGGCGAAATTTATGCGAAGAATGCAGCAGCAATATGTGCATCGGCAACGGCAACAGCAGCGGCTGCAACATTGCAACACGGCAGCAACATCAAGTGAACCACATGGTCGGCAAGCATTTTTCTTCGTCCTGTTTGTTTTTGGCCTCCCGTGCTGCTTGCCACTACCCAAAAAAGGACCAACAAGGGAGCAGGACGATATTTTTCCTCATTTTTTCCTGGCCGTTGAATAATGTTTAACGTGTGTATGTGTGTGTGTGGGGGTGTGTGTGTGTTGGAGACAGGAAAAGTATTTGCGAGTGAAAAGTCTGCAGTTGCCTGTGTGATGTGTGAATAAGTAAGCTTTGTAAGAAGTTTTTCATTTCCCGCTTTTTCCTCTTTGTCTGCCGCTCATCTCTCATTCGCCACCCTTCTCGGCAATTTTTCAGTTTCTCCATTGTTCCAAAAGGAAAAGTGTGAGCGGGGGCTCGGCGGCTAGGAATACGGAAACTTAATAAGATTTTAATTGAAGCGCAAGAATTTAATTAATTTAATTATGAATACATAAGCCGAAGACGGCCAGAGGAATGATATATGTGTGAGGAGAAGTCGCAGAACGCAAAAAATGTTGGCCGCCAAGGAATGCAATAAAGTAGCAGATTTGATTAAATCATTTAAGATTTTCGAGACAACTCGAAAGGGTGGATTTGTAAAAGAACATTTTGAAAGATGAACTTAAGAACAGAACAGCAGGTATAAAGAATTTTCATTAAAAAACCAATACAATACTTTGGACTATATACTACTATATATCATGTGTACGTAAATACGCCATTATTGCTTATCGCATTTAAAGTACTATCGGTATTGTAAACACTTCGCTTAAAAGTCACGTTCTGAAACTGTTTTGTCAGCTAAATTTTCTGCGCGAGCGTTTCAGGCGCTGTTTTAAACGCATGGCTCAGTATATTTTTTTGGCGCGTTTCAGGTTTCCATGGAAAAAAATTAATGAACTTCCGCATTCTGAATGGACTGAACGAGTGCATTGGCCTCGGCCAAAGAATTGCGTGACAATTATGTTGCACATGCCAGGGTGTCTACTGTTGTCTAGTTAGAGCAGCAAACGCGTCATTCCCTGACTTAATTAAAACCAGACTTTTTGCCGGACGGAGAGTCATTAATTTAATTACTGCTTTCAATTAAATGCGAACGAGAGTCGTCCTCAAAGGCAGCTTTAGCTGCATAAATCAATTGATTTGGCTCGCATGTCTTTGGATATCAGCGTCATTGAGCTTGATTCATTCATTTGAACACTTGTACATCTGTTCGCCCATGTTCGTTTATCAATTATTGCTTTTCGGAAGGGGAAAATCAACAGCGTTTTACCCAGCACAGTTGACCGACTTTGAGTTATTGTTGCTGTGCGCAGCTTGTTTTGTTTGATTTTCATTAAGTCTTGCCCCTTTTGCAGTTTTCAGATCGCGTCGCAAGTTGCCAGTTGCAAGTTGCTGCTGGCAGTTGCTAGTTGCCAGTTGCCGGTTGCTGTTGCAATTACTTGCGTCATTAAACCGGCGACCATTCAGCCCCGAGTTCTTGAGTTCGGGCTCAAGTTCTCCCCGGGTCATTCCCCTGATCCCTTGGGTGATTTATATTACTTTGCCAAGTTTTCAGAGTCGCCAAAGATTTTCAATTGAGTTGCCCGCCCTGTTTTGCCAACATTAACAACTTGCAATTAGTGTGCATATGTTGTTGCTATTGCCGACCCAAAGTTGTTCTGGTTAACCCCAAAAAGGCACGTAAGTTTCGAAGTCAAAGTCTGTATGGTTGGGAAAAACTTGGAAAAGTTGTGTTTGATTGCTTTGAAAAATAAAATGCAATACAGAGGATTGGGTTTCTATACACTGAATAACTTTAATAAGCTGCCTTTAAGAAGACCAATTAAAGAGTTAAATTTAGAAACAAATTTCCAAAGTCTATTTAATTTAACAGAATTTTAGCAATTTTAAATAAAATCATATCTTGAACCAATGTATTCATAATTAATGAAAACTTTTCTATTTATATAATATTAAATTGATTTTGTCTCTTTTAATACCATTTTAAATCAACAGAATGAGTAAACGAGTATGTTCTACTTATTTAATTCCATTTAAAATCAACAGAATGAGTAAACGAGTCTGATTTACTTTTTGTATCATATTAATTCAATCGGCTTAATTTATAAGCCCCTTTAACATAACAAATCCTAACCGTAATCCTCAAATTTCAATGCAGTAGCAAAAAACCAAACTGAATCCGAAACCCGCAAAGAAAACAAAAACGCACTGGCGACAAAAACCGCGTGAATGCAAAATCGTCACAGAGCGCGATTTAAACCGCAGTGCGACAGCATAGACGTAGATTGCAATTGGAAATGGAATGGGGACAAAGAGACTGAGGATTGACAGGGAGCTGTCCCCATTTAATTGTTGTATTTAGCAGAAAATGAAATGAAATAAGTGACAACATCAATGCGAATTAAAATTATTGTCAATGGTGCTGTAATGCAATCAGTTTCGATTTGATTACCTTTAATTGACTTTTCAGCACTGTTGAACCAGCGACAGCGACGTCGGCAGAGGCAGCAAAAATGCTGTCAGCGTCATCAGCATTTAACACTTTTTGCCGCTGCTCATTAACAATTCAAACTGTGTGCTTTTGACCCACTCCGCCTAGTGGCTTAATTTATTTTATTAAATTCAATTCCAATGCCGGAACTTGCTGTCAAACATATTGTTGATGGAGGGCCTGCAACGAAAATAATGTGCAAAAAACCATAAATTATTTAATCCAGCTGCAGCAGCATCGTAAATTTTTAATAATATTGCAAAGAGGTTTGCATGTCGGCAATTTATGATTTGCTTAAAATATTCATTTAAATGTATTCCAAGTGGAATCCCTCTGGAAACAGCCTGTTTTTATAATATCCATATTTTTTCACAGATTTATTTTCGCTCACATTGGTGGCAATTTTCTTTTTTAATTTGAATTTTAATTATTTATTTATGTTAATGCCTTAATGGTTCCATTGAACGATGATACTCATTTTCCATATTTCCCAAAACACTTGATTCCACTTTGTATCATGCATTAATTCGATTTTTTCTTGTAATCCAATCCGACTTCACCTCCCATCCGATTTAGCCTAGATAAACTCTAGATAATTATTTGATATTCAATTACTCAAAAGGCAATTTTTCATTTGAATAGGTTCGACCTGGCGTAAAAAAGATTTTAACAAATTGTTCGGGCTTAATTAATGAATCGTTTGCTGTGCAATTTCGCTGTGCAACTGAAATATTTCCGCAATTTAATATGCTGGAAAAGAAGCCTCTGAGGTGAAGCAGCATAAAGCAAATTTTCGGTCTGAGCCGCAGCAGAAAAATATACTCGTATATCTGAAAATGTGGAAAAGCGTAAAAGGAAAAATGCAAAGTGCCGAGCCTCGCCTATTGCCACTGGGAACTGTCCCTTGTCTGCGGCCCCGGAATTCCCCCGACTCCCGACTCCCGATCCTTTTCTCCTGGTTCGGGCTGTGTCCCTTGTCTTTTGGGCTGCTGCTGGCCCCATACATGGCAAGTGTTGTAAGTATGTGCTTAAATACGCATTTATTCATACAAATATGGCCAGAAGGCGTCTGCGGCAACCGCAGAAAGCATCGGCTTTAGCAGCATGAGTAGCAGCAGTTGGAGTAGCAGCCGGCAAAACAATAAAAGCAACTTGCGAATGCTTGGCTTAAACTCTCAGTCGAATATCGTATTTCCTATGGTTGATATATACTTTTATATTTGATTCATAATTTCATGTTTTAGATTTTCATGATAGAAATAATGGAATATAAGATAAGTGTTTAAATTTAAACTTTACTATCGGAAATAAATTAGTTGTAATATAATATAAGAATTAATTCGTTTTTAATGTCATTTCTTTTGTGGAATGAGACCAAAATCTGATGGAATTATTATTTGAAATAATGCTTTATATCTAAATTAAAAAACATATATTTTCCTTAATTTAAGTATCCTTCATTTGGAATACCCTTTGCTACCCTGTGGTCACTCGGAATGGCAAAACGCAGAGCGAACGAATTTCCATGTCGTCGTCGTTGTCGTTGTCGTGGTTGTTGCTCGTTAGTTGCGCATCTGATTTGCCCGCCGAGGCAAGAGCCATGGGTGGGTAAGGAGGCGAAGGGGGAGGGTGGGTTACTGGGGGAGGTAGTGGGGGGCCACAGGATGCGGACCCAACGCCGGACCCCTGGATGGCAGCCCCCGGGCGCCTTGGCCACGCGAACATGGCGCAAATGTGACAAATATGGTCATGAAGTGTGCAAGTGACAAGTCCAACATACTTACAAATTTTCATGAGGACCCACAAAACCCGCTGGCTGAGGGCAAGAGCGGAATTCCTCTGCGTTTTCAAATATATGTTAATGATGCCGAAGGAGGGGAAGGTGGCGGGGGTGGGGCAGAAAATGGGAAGGGGGCTGGGGGAGCACAATGATTTCCAGTTTTTCTCCTCGGCATTTTCCCTGTTTAGTTGGCCAAACGTATTTCCTGTCTTCCCGCCGGTTACCCAACACCTCTTCAACTGTTTTTATTTTAACGATTTTCGCCCGTTTCTTTTGCAGCCTTTTGTTCGGCAAATAAAAAACTGATTTGAATATGTGCAAACTAATGCCGCTGTTGATGAGCTGGCGCTTTTTTTCGCCAGCTCGCTCCGCAAATTAAATTTCAATTTCAATTTTCAACGGAAGCGGTTTGAACAGGGATTTCTTTCTTTCATTCTTCGGGTCTAATGTGATTTAGATAGCTTTGGGGTTTTAATTGGCAAACCCCAGCACAAGAAAAAGAAAACGATGTTTCTTGAGTGGAGGAAATGTTGCTGTAAAGCTCGTTTTCCATTGATTGTGGGAAATTTTTGGAAATGGTATCTCATTATTGGGATACATTTTACATTACAGTTGCAGTTATTAAAAATGTATTCCACATGTTACCTTGCTTAAGAAAAATCCTTCAATAAATTCACGGGCTAATATCTTTATTCCAATCTGTTCTCTTTTCCCACAATGATTAATCGATTGACTTGTCGCAATCCTATATAATCCCAGCAGGAAATGCGTGTCTCAGTTCCAAACGAGAACATCTTTAAAGGGTAAGAATAAACGGCAAGAGAATCAGTCATCTCTCGCTGCATCCTCATGGCTTATATGTCCATTTTCCAGCCTCGGACAGGAAATGACATCGAGCTGACTGAGCAAACAAGAAATCAAACAACTTGCGAGGCAGCAAAAACAAGGAGCAACACCAGCCAAGATTTCCAGGCATGGTCAACAGCAATCAACGTTGCATGCCACATGCAACGGGCTCCTAAAAATCAGACGGCGAAGTTTTCCGTTCCGAAAACTCATTTAAAATGGGTATACGCATCGAAAAGATGGGGGGTTTTAAAGTACTTTCCTACACAGAGAATAAATTAGCATGTTTAATTTTATTGATTTTTTCCTCAGCTGCTCAAAAAAAATTTTTTTTTGTTATGTTTCAAAGGAAACTAAAAGGAAAATAACTTTTCGAATAAGAATATTGATTATTATTAGCTTTAGATGGCTATCTTCCAGATTTTCTTCCCTTTTTTTTTTAATTTGAGTTTGATTTTTCTTAAGAAAATCCATAAGTATAAGCAAGCATTAAATTTTCCATGTGTACCCACGCACTTAGTGTGTCTCCCTCTCGTTGAAACTCTAAACAACAAAATCCGTCACGAAAATTACATAATTACCTGCAATAAATTGTAATTACGGACTTTGGTAACATTTTGCTTAGATAAACGCTTTTTCATGTCGCTGTCTGGGGGCTCTGTTTGCTTTTGTTTTGGTCTCTTTTTCCTTTTCCATTTCGGTTTCATTTTGCTTCAGACCGGCGACATTGACTTTGCTTCGTCCGCTGGCATAAATTAGACTAAGCAATTACAACAAACCGACAGACAGACAGACAGACTGAGGTGACAATGTCAAGGGGGGCGGAACCGAGAGGGGAGATTGGGGACTGCACGTTTTTGGATCCACAAAATAGCTCAGTACATGTTATCCAACGGCCCCAGGCACTAAAGTCATTTATACCGATTTGTGGGTGGTCAGAGATTCGGTAAGCGGCAAGGACAAGGGAAATCATGCCCAGAGGAGCAGCAAGTGGAATAAATCTGTGTAAATTTATAATTTAATTTCCACGGGAGTGGTGTCCTCGAAGTCGGCGCTCAGACAGTACTAAACCCCATTTGATCTGGATAAAATCAAGGCATCTCAGCATCAAAGTTTTACCCAGCCCCAAATGAATCATGCATTGGATCGAATGCCAAATTATAGCACTATGCCACAAGAGTGGCTGAGGAAAATATACATTTGACAAATTGAGTTGAAATCGATAAATAATAATTGAGGCGTGCAGAGTGTGCAGAGGCCAGAAATCCGAAAACCGAAAACCGAAAACGACCGTAGATTGAAGATATACGATGGGGGACGACGAAAGCGAGGTAGACACTATGTCTCGGGTTACCCATAAAAGCAATTTCAATAAATAAACAAATTGGGTCAATGCAATCGACAACGCACAGAGAGAGAAACACAGGCACACAAATTCTGCAACGAAAACTAGCTGCAAAACTGTTTGTGACCGACCAGATTTGCTTATTTTGGGCCTCATTAGAGTGACCCACTGAGCCACCCACCCACTTTGCTCCATTTATTATGAACATAAAGGCGGAGCGGAAAAAAAAAGCCATTTGGTCAGCTATTTCGAAGGAATTATGCATCCAAAAAATGTTGACCGTAAACTAGTTTTTGGCTCTTTTGGTCAGCTGCACATTAAAGTTGTTTGGGGCTCCAGATTTGCATAATTTAACAAAAACATGCAGACGAAAAATGTCGAGTAATTAACTTTGAACCATATAAATCTACGCTTAACATTTCCTACACAACAATCTATTTCATTGGGAGCTCACAAACCAATTCACGAACGAAATTATAAATGCAAAATCAATGGAAAATAAATGCGCATAACGTTTAGCGTAATTACGGATCGGCAGCCAATGCAAATCCTCCAAATGTATCTGTTTAAGCATGCATCTATCTATACTATATAAATTTCAACTGAGGAATGTGTTTTCCTTGATAAGCTGGCGAAGTGAATTTTATAAAAATTTATGGCTAAGGTTAATTGGGTGCTGATGTCTGTGCGTTCAACAAGACCGAAGCGATGACATAATGATCTGTCTTTATATATAGACACACATTTTAATCTGTTTTCATTTCTGGTTTCACCTATCGCAGATTCCCCAGAAATCATGCATATTCTTTGGGATCCCAAAGTGTGCTGTCGTTTAACAATGATTAATTTTGGCCTTAAACTTTTGTTCAGGTGACAAAAAACAATGAAAATTTGCATGCTGCTTTAGTCAAAATTCGCATAAAATCCGCTTTGCATATTTTAAACTGGTCAGAGATGGAAAAAAGATGATAATTTGTTACCGGATTTATTTAAGATATATTAATGGATATAAAATTATTAAAAATTTGTTGAAATTTATTTTCTTTAAGTACCTATATTCCTTTACGTAGTGTTTTATAATCCAACGCTGGTTAGCTATTTAATATTTTTAAGTAAGATCTTTAACTTTTAGGACTCCAGAATGGTGCTCGATATTTTTGCAAGTCATATGTGATTTAGGCTAATTATACCCCCTATTATTGCTAAGCC